GTTCAAACCTTTAAAGAAAAGTGCGGTTTAATTCAAATTTGAATTTGAATTAATTTTCATATAAAAGGAAATAAATCTTTTATTTATGGGAGAATTGCATGATCATTGGAAGTTTTCAAATCGAACACCCAATCTTTGTCCTCACCCTGCATATTTGAGGGATATATAGAGAGAGACAAGCAAAGTACCAAAATTTTGACTTAACAAAAACTAAAACTCCCAAGTTTCTAAAGAAGAAAAACAATAAGCGTGCCACATCTACACCGTTCTTTATCAGAGGCCTTCACTCACCAATTGTGTAAATCTTCCACAAATAAAAGATTTATTACATTTTATATGGAAATAAATTCAAATTCAAATTTCAATTAATTTGAATTAAATAGCACTTTTTTTTAATGGTCTAAACCTTTAGAATTTTGACATGTGTCCATTAATGGAACCGCATATATGGATTTTAATTAATAAAAAATATTTAATTTTTTGACCAATCCGACGGTGATTAAACCATCACAAATTTTAAACGTGTAAGAAATTTTCAACAAAAGGTTTTTTTTGGTTAGGTAAGTAAGTACTATCACATATTCATGAATATTTTGGTGCAAATCCCTTACCTTCCTCTTTAATAACGAAGAGGTTATATTATTGGAGTAGAGACCCATTAAATTATTTTTTTTAAAAAATAATAATTGCAAGAAAAAAGAATAAACTTTCTAATCATGAACTTGACGTTACTTCTGTAGATGAAATAGAAGCAACCAATGGCTCAAGTGGTATGAGCTTCACAAGAGGAAGTGAGTGGGTTTGAGTTCCACACGGGAAAAATAATGTAGCGTGTGTGAGAGCGTATTTGTTGCTCACCTACCAACAAAGACGAAAAAACAAAAGGAGAAAGAAGAAACAAAAAATAAAAAAAAAACTAAATAAAAGAAAATCAAAAAGAGTTAAAAGGCTTGTCATTAAAGGGAATTTAAGAAATGTGTCCTCTCGTTGTTTGCAACTTTGCATGGTTTTAGGAAGTTTCTTTAATTTCTTTTTTCGTTTTTCCTTTTTTTTTTTTTTTTTTTTTTCATATAGTTTTACATTGAAATCTTTTTAGATATTGTTATATAGCCCTTCCTTGACATCATTAAATAAATATTCAGTTCCCTAAGAACAAAATTATGCTTTTTTGTTTCTCTAAACAATGAAAAACAATACCATTATGTTTGGGATGATTGAATCTGTGCTTTAGATCTGGATCTTCTAATTTCAAACCCAAACTCGGTGCTCCCAAACCAAACATGCATTTAATTAACATTGATATATTGTCACATCAATAGTACAGAGAAGAAATCTTAAGATATAATTAGCAATACTAATATACTCTTGTCATGCTATGTTGCATGAATTGGTTGAATTTTAGTTTTAAGACATCAATTTCATGCGCAATTGAGAATATCGGTATATTCAATGTTTAGCATATTTCTCTTTCAAGCAATACCAATACTCTCTAGTCTCCACAGAGTTTTTCTTATATCAAAACAAGTAGTAATTACAATGAGGGTAAAGTAGAAAAACACTCTTAATATTTAAAATTTGGGCAAATAACACCCATAACATTTATTTTGGATGTATAAGTCTGTTAAGTTTTAAAAAATGGGTAAATAAGGGCTTGATTAGTATAATATATCAAAAAATCATATTTAAGTAATAATGTGTGATGCACATGCGTATATTAAATAACAAATTTTCTAAATTGTCCTTTTGGTCTCCCCAATGCCTTATAGCATTTGATCATTAATGCCTTGTGCCTTTTGGTTGGGGAACTTTGATCATTTTACATTTATTTTGTTTTTCACTAATTTTTTTTTTCTTTTTCGAATACATAAGGACACCTTAATCTTTTAATCGCTCTACTGACAACATGCTCTTATTCGCACTAAAAATAAAAATTAAATTTTTTTAAGAACCTACAAGAGTTATATACCCTATTTGTATATAAGGGTGTTTATTGTTCGCGATCCTTATAACGATGATCACTTCATATAAACAACTTTTAACAAAGAAAAATAATTTCCTCAACTGCATATGTGAACCCGACAATGGATTGTGTATGCCACCAAGCCTCCATTCTTGACCGAAATTTGTGCCTATTATGCATGTAGCTAGTTTTGTTTCGTTCATGATTAATATTTGCTAAGCCATCACTAGTGATTGAAACTTGCATGTATATAATAGATTTTGAGCCGATGAATAACAGTTCAACTATCCAATCATTTTATAGTAGTGGGATTAATTTCTAGATTGCAAATTTGGGTCAAACCACTCACAACGTTCACATTTGAAACGTCTTATTTAATTCGTTACTACATATGATTTAATTCCTTTTTAATAGAACATTATTTAAGCAATGCCATGAATTGTTGATACATAGTCAAAAACCATGTAATTTTAATTCCCATTGAGAATTGGAAACAATGGTCGCAGGAAACAAAAACAGGTAGCATAAACAAGACAGGAGGCTTGGTTGCTCTTTAATTTATTAATTAATCTTGCTCTGACTTGAGGTCAAATGGAAGTTTCCTATGCCATGGATGCTGCAAATTTTTTCAGTTCAAACTAGTGCACACTTTTGAGATACCTGTGAACCGTCTGGCAAAGTAACACATGTATTATACTGCACCGAATTCCACTCTTACAAGTAAACTTTATTTCAAGACTTCTCTATATTTATTTATACACATAATACAATACAGCTTGTTCCTCGAAATTTATAAATGACTCATTAGTTTGCCAATAAATAAATATATATATATATATATATATATATATATATATATATATATATTGTGTGTGTGCATATGTGACATAATGTGTTAGGATCCTTTGCTATTATAGTACAATATTGTAATAGCATAACGCGTGTATACAATTAAAGCACCATGTTAAAACAGCAGAAGATCCTGACTCGTAACATATATAATACTCGTATCAATTTTTCCTGAACTTTTATACACTCTGTTGCACGAAACATGCAACGCGTGTGAGAAATTTGGACATTGAAGCAACATTTTCTCCAGTATACCCCACAGGAAAAGTGCCTAGTCTACTTACATTTAGGCAACATAATTATGGTGTATCTTAGGCAAAATAACATAAATGAAAGTAAGAAAAGTAGTTGGTGCATGACAGGTGCAATGGCCATATTAAAATGGTAAAGCAACATTAATAATTACAGGACAAGGATTAGAAATATATGTTAAAAAATGTACTTAGCTCCCTAGGTTACTCTTTGTCAATAGAATTTAGAAAAGAACGCACCTCTCTTCATTAGTTTATGATAGTGTAAAACTACTACAGTGACCTAAACTAAAGTCACCTTAAACTACACGTCTTCTATTATTCTCATGTTGGGTTCACCACATTCCTTAATTCTTCCTAATTTAACTTACTATTTACAACATTTGCATATCATTACATATGCTCACTAGTAGAAACGAAAACATATCTCCCCATAATTCATTTCTGAGCTTAATCCTCTCTAATACTGGAGAGAGTCATGCAACTTCGGTTAGGGTGGTGATTTATATCATTAGATGGGATTCAAGTCCAATCTCATTGCATAATGATGTAATCTCCATTCTTGATCGAGTAAAATAATTTTTTTTTTTAGTACTAAAAAGGATCCGAGCCCTTCATTTATAGAATTTCTTCATAATCTTTACACGCGTGTGTGTAACTTCAGTTAGGGTGGTGATTTGTATCGTTAGGTAGGATTCAAGTCTAATCTCATTGCCTGATGATGTAATCTCCATTCTTGATTGAGTGAAATAGCCTTTTTTTTAGTACGGAAAAGGATCCGAGCCCTTCATTTATAGAATTTCTTCATAATCTTCACACGTGTGTGTGTGTGTGTGTGTGTGTGTGAGAGAGAGAGAGAGAGAGAGAGAGAGAGAGAGAGAGAGGACAAACACAGGATGGGTAAAAAAAAGTTGTGGAGTTTGGCTTTTTAACTTCATGGGTGGCTAGAGACAAGGAGACATTGATTAAAGTAGAATGAATTTGAGATAGGAAACATGATAAGAATAATTGATTAGTTATAATCTCACAGATTTGAGTATCCTAGATCAACTTGTGCCCTACCAACCTCTTTCTTTTGCAATTTTCTACTCTCCATGACGAGGGTGGTGAGTCTGTTCACAACCCAAACGTGTCAATCCAACCATTCGCCTCCGGCCTAGTGGCATTTACACCCACTTGCCGCGTTGTCATTCGCTCATGCTTAATCCAATTTTAGCCAATAGAATGCTCGAGACGATGCTGATGTGGCATTATCTTCCTCTGTCATTTTGTTGATCAAATGACTTTAGACCATAAAAGTGCCACAATTTGATTTTTGATTTGTCCAAAAAAAATTAAGGATTTCACCGGCATCGGACGGCCATGAGAGGTCCCACATGTTTAGGGTTCTTCCCTGTGTAATCAATAATCTATTAAGGATGGCCTAATCCCATTTTAATTACTTTATTAATGGTCGGTCTCCTTCTAGAAAACATGTAATGAGTATTAGGTTTTTCACCACAAATGACAAAGTTTAGGTTACTAAGTTCACATTTCACACTACAGTCCATAATCTGAGGAATTGAGTGCAGTATCTATTCCATATTATTAAAGTCTCTGTTTTCATTATAATAACAAGAAAGCATAACTGTAAATTCTGATTAAGACATTGGTAGGGTATCTATGTAGGACTCCAAGCCTTAATTGTGCATTAGAAATATGTTACTTTCATGGTCCCAAAGGTGCAATTGGTTTGAAAGGAATTAAAGATCGAAAAACTTATTATATGGCCCGTGACTATTGGTTTCGGTCAATTATCAATTGATACACAAGCAAAAAGTGAAACAAAATTGACATAAAACTTACACTTCCTTGCGTGTCAATCGGTGATTGGCAGGGCCAATGGTCTCGAGACTATGGAATAATTTCTCATAAAGAATGAGGGAAAGGGTAATGGGCCAAAGAGATGACATGTTCTTTATTATACTTGCTGCACTTAGATTATTTGGTTGCATAGAATCTTAAAAAACACCCCCAAACACCAACAATTTGGCAGAAAACATGGAAAAACCTTATGTCTTTAAAGCATACAAATCATGTCCTGACAAGGATCTAAACAACATACCCTCTGTCACATACTGATCTGCTTGCAGGCTTTTTCATATCAATCATGATAGCTGATGGAATGTCCATCCATTGATGCTCATCTCTGAGATAAAATAAACCCTAAAAGCAATACTGTCTTAAAAAATGCAGGCACCTAAACTTTTACTTCTTTTTCTGCATCATAACACCTTGATTCTTCAAGATCTACTAGAGAAGCTTTAGGGTAAAAAACCAGGTGCCCCATATCCTCCATCCGTACAGAAAATGATCAATCCTAATATATATTAAATCTGCAAATTTCGAAGTACATAATTGCTCATGAACAAGTTGTATCTAAACCCAAAATGTAGTAATTGTGCAAGACTAATTACCTTGCAAATCGAAGCATAAACAAGATAATCACTCTGGCTTGTCCCTTTTGCAGGGAACTAAGGCTTCAAATTCATTGCAAGAGATTGGGAATAGTATTTTGGAGTTCCAACAACATGTCATCTCCATCTCCATGTCCATTCTTCCATTCTCACTAAGGCCACACATAGGCCCCAAGGGGTCCCCAGCATAACCAATCACAGCTCTTCCCCCCACAAAGCACACATTTTCTTGAAATTCACGTGGCGCGGACCCATCATTGCTCTTTCTGCGCAAACGAATCAAGGCAGGTCCGCTAGTCCTTCTCATCCAATCTGAAAGTAGATACACCATGTTTGCTTTTAGACAGCAATGGATTCACAAGGAATATATGCACTCATTAACCATGTAAGACACAAAATAGCATACCTGTCATCGGTGGCAAAGAAATCCACATTCTGGCAAACTCATTACCTCTTTCTATAAATGGCAAAAATATCCTCAAAAATGGTTAATAAGAAAATATTTGAGGTACGCTAGCATTGATAGAAAAGGTGAGAATGTGGTTGCAACTGTGAGAAAAAGTGCAAAGATTGTGAAATCTTTCTTTCTTGTGACTTTTCGCTTCAACTTGGCAATATATGATGGCTTATTTTATAAACAAAAGAGCCCAAAAAGAAGAACTAAAAGGAAAATCCTAAAACTCTTCCACCTAAGTAGGCAGTCTTCATACGGATTCTCACCACTGAAGATAGGTTGACTCTGCCACCCAAATCTCTCTTTAAATACCCTTCTCAACCCTCATTCCCTTAGCAATTCTACGCCTCTACGTTTTCTTTTGCTCTCGAAGAAACAACAAATACAAGGTCTTCCACCTTTACCTTCTCTTCCCTTCTCTGAAGAAGACAGAAAAATGGGATACCCACCCGTTATTTTTCTCAGACAAAGTAACATTCTTTTCATAAGAACCTTCATGATCTTTTTCTTAAGCTGCATGATTCTAAAATTGAATCTCTGTTCTTCTGGTGTCCCTTCTTCATTGAAAACCCTCTCCCTTGATGGGCACTTCAGTTTTGATGACATTCACCATGCAGCCAGAGACTTTGGCAACCGGTACCAGTTCTTTCCTCTGGCTGTCCTTTATCCCAAGTCAGTTACTGATATTGCCACTACCATAAAGCATATTTGGCAAATGGGTCCTAGTTCAGAGCTCACGGTTGCAGCAAGAGGGCACGGTCACTCACTCGAAGGCCAGGCACAAGCTCACCGAGGAATTGTTATCAACATGGAATCACTCCACAGACCAGAAATGCAGGTTTATACTGGAAAGTTCCCTTATGCGGATGTCTCTGGTGGCGAGCTCTGGATAAATGTTCTGCATGAAAGCCTGAGGTATGGGTTAGCGCCAAAATCTTGGACAGATTACCTACATCTATCGGTTGGCGGAACTTTGTCCAATGCAGGCGTTAGTGGGCAGGCATTTCGGCATGGCCCCCAGATAAGCAATGTCCACCAGCTGGAGGTTGTTACAGGTTGGTTTAATAAAAAATTAAAAAAGCACAGTGTTGTGGTGATAGACCACATGATGTAATATGAGAACAAGGTCAAGAGCCGCCGCATGTAACATTAAAATGGGCAAACCACATAAGTAGCAACTTTTGCTTTGTCCCATCTGATTTCTTTATTCATAGTAAACGGGACTAGCAAGCTGCCAAGGTTTGCTTATCATATTGTGTTGGAATCTTACCTTGTTCTCATGAAGAATACATCAAAAGTAAATTCTCTTCATCTCATGCTTAAAATCAATATATGGATTGACTGGGTGACCGATTGCAGGAAAGGGGGAAGCGGTGAAGTGTTCAAAGGAACAGAATGCAGACCTCTTTCACAGCGTTCTTGGAGGACTCGGTCAGTTTGGCATAATTACCAAAGCAAGAATTTCACTGGAACCAGCACCTGAGATGGTAAGAAAAAAAATATATATATATATCCACTGAGCTGTACAAATAAGTTCCAAGCATAGTAGAAACTAACTGTTTCATAAATCAAATTATGCTCGATTTAACAGGTTAAATGGATCAGAGTGCTGTACTCGGATTTCTCCACATTTGTCAGAGACCAGGAGTACTTAATATCTGCAGAAAGAACATTTGATTACATTGAAGGATTTGTGATTATAAACAGAACTGGTCTCCTAAATAACTGGAGATCGTCCTTCAATCCAAAAGACCCAGTTCAAGCCAGCCAATTCAAATCAGATGGAAGAAGACTCTTCTGTCTTGAATTGGCTAAGAACTTCAACCCAGATAAAACTGATACAATAAACAAGGTGAGGCAAGTCAGAACCCAGCAATTCCCAAGTCCTTATTACATTATAGCGGATATAATTGCATTACTGTACAGACTGTACATAAACAAAATGGTTCTCATGTCTATTTTTATTTGCTTGGTGCAGGAGATAGAGAGCTTATTATCTCAATTAAACTATATTTCATCGACTCTTTTCCTGTCAGAAGTTACCTATGTAGAATTCTTGGACAGAGTTCATCTGTCTGAAGTTAAACTACGATCAAAAGGGTTGTGGGAAGTTCCACACCCTTGGCTCAATCTTTTCGTCCCCAAAAGCAAAATACACAATTTTGCTGAAGAAGTTTTTGGCAACATTCTAACAGATACAAGCAATGGTCCTATCCTCATCTATCCAGTTAACAAGTCAAAGTAAGTTTCACAAAGTTATTTTTCTCAACAATCCATTTACATTTTTGTTGATTGATTGCTTTATTTATTTATTTTTCTTATTTATTTTTCAGGTGGGACAACAAAACTTCAGTCGTTCTTCCAGAAGAAGACATTTTCTACATGGTGGCTTTCCTTTCCTCTGCGGTTCCTTCTTCCACAGGAACTGATGGCTTAGAACACATTTTAACGAAGAACAAAAGGATTCTGGATTTCTGTGAGACAGCCCACCTTGGGGTAAAGATGTATTTGCCACACTACAACACACAGGAAGATTGGCAGGCTCACTTTGGCTTACATTGGGAAATCTTCAGACAGAGGAAATTAGCTTATGACCCTTTAGCGATCCTTGCTCCTGGTCAGAGAATCTTTCAAAAGGCAATATCCAGTTTATGACACAGGCCATATTTTCATTTCAATAAAAATGAAAAATAGGCCCTTACAATGGATATTGTAGGGAAACACACTAGTAGCATATGCTGTTGTCACAATTTAAAAGGGAAAAAAAAGAAAAGAAATAGCATATGCTGTAGATTGATAATTATTAATTCAATATATTTGGCATCTTCACAGCAATGCAAGTAGACTGAGGCACTGCGGCAGCTCGTTGAAATTTAGTAGACAAGATAAGTCAGACATTTCAAATACAACAAATTGTTAAACAGCCCTATAAAAGGGACTGGAGAACAGCAGCCCATGATTGTATGTATAATGTATTGAGTTGGTAAACAAAGAGCCAATTAATATCTCATACTATACAAATTCCAAAGACAAGAAATGATCAAATTTGCTGCAAAAGTAAATAACTAATGACAACAGAAAGCTGGAGTAATTCCCATAAAATGAAAAGGAAGAAAGAAAGAAGTGGTGTGAAAGAAATAATAAAGGCAATAAAGTAAGAACGGGGCAGGAAAGAAATAAAATGAGGAACGAACTAAGTTGATACCCTTGATGTAAGTTGCACACTTAATAGATCATGATTCATGAACAGACCTGCGACTCGTAATAGAACTAAGGATGAATTTGAACGTTCTTGCTGAAACGACCAACCTACTGCAGGTGACTGCACAATATTCATGCTGCCATTGATTCAGAAGAAAAACAACAGGGGCACATTAGTAATTTAGTCATTTTAATTTTATATGGTGATATAAAGGCAGCACAAATTTAAACCATGATGGAGCACAAAAAGACAGGCTGTTGCATCAGTTGAAGAGGCCCCAAAGCACTATGCAGCCCCCACGGGTAGCTTCCCTTTGAAGTGAACAAGTAACAAATTCAGTAACATTGAAGCATTTTTTTCATCTTTGCACCATGTATATTAAGTACCACCACCTTTCATAGAGCGCTCTGATCCTGTCTTAACACATCTTATGTATGACATGACCAGGGATGGACCTAGAACTTTAGGTTGGGGGGGGGGGGGGGGGGGGGGGGGGTGTGGGGAAGACTGAAATTTTGTAATAATTTCAGGGGGGGCATTAGCAATATTTAGGGGTATATATTAAAAAAAGAAAAAAATAACATGGTATATTAGTAAAAAAATAAAAATTCAGGGGGGGCAATTGCTCCCCCCTCTCCTCACTTGGTAATAGGTCCATCCCTGGACGTGACGTACTCCAATGATCGGATTCCAGCGCTTTATCCCTCATGCTCTCTTCATTTTAGTTGATGTAATCAGAAGGCCAAAATTTTGAAGTTGAAGCAGAAAGACCAACAAGAGCGCATAGAGGTATCTGTGAGCTATGCCTTTGAAAATGTGATAGGAAAGATAAATACAAAATGCTTCTTCTGAAATCATATTATCAGAAGCAAGATATCAAAAATTAGAGTTTGTGCTAGATCATTGTCATGAAAGTTACCTTCCATAATTTTTTTTTTTCCTAAATAGATATCTTTCATGATCAAATTGGGCAACGATGGAAGCTACACATATAGAAGGAAATCTTTAAGCAACTGGGTAAATACTCAGTTTAATCAGAAATATAATGAAATAAAAAAGATATCATTTGTAACACAAAATATTTATAATTAAGAATCATATTATTGGACCTGTACGACATTTGAATTAGTTGCTTCTCCATGTATGTATTTTATTTTATTTTTTGGTGAATTTTATCAAAGCAGTTTATCATTCCCACTTTCATTTATTTATATTCATCTAATGTCAGCCTAACAGGGGAAAATTTAGCCGCCCAAGAGATTCAGGCATTTGAGTGTCCATTCTGTTGGGTCAATGGTGTTTCATAGTTTGCCCAGCACATGTACTGTATTTCCATATATGTTTTGAGTGAAAAAGTGATCTTCACATGGCCACTACATGATCTTTGGACGTATGATATCGGAGCATTTTGCTGTCTTTCCAACCACTCAAACTTCCAGTGACTCTTCTAAAGGCTATAACCACAATCTAACAAACTGAAGCACAAGTTTGTCATTGAGCACATAAGGACCTAAGACTAAGAGTATTTTTATAGGAAAGGAACTACCTTTAAAAGTGATAAATGTGATGGAGTTGACAACTTAAAGAAAAAGAAAAGAAAGAGGTCATTCTTGCCACCAAAAATAGAACATCTTCATCCAGAGAGTGGACACAACCCTATGGTATTAGATCAGGACGCAATATGTAAGATGTTATCGTCACTTTTTTTTTCCCGGGGGGGGGGGGGGGGTGGTAATTAATAAATAAATAGATAATCTACAACAACATCGAATACATTATTTAATAAGAATATGTAGAACTTATTATTTTGCCATAATTTATAGTTTCCTCCATTGGCAGCAGGTTTCCTTGCTTGAAGACATCGCTGACTCCAATGTTGCTTCTTTGGTGGTGTTAATAACCATCTACTCCAAAAGCTATATCCTTCAACACGCCCCCTCACGTGTGGACTTCTTGTGGTCCAACACATGTTTTTCAGTTTTTTTAATTAGGGTGACGGTGAGGTTTGAACTCGAGACCATTGTGTCACGATCCGATTCCTAACGACGCCATGAGCATAGAAGATACGCATGCTGGTTGGCTAAGAACATTTATTGACTGGGAATGGTTCCAGGGAAGGGGCGTGCAGGACCACAGGATGGTACCTCTTCAGAGTTCAGGCAGGTCGACTCGGTTCAGTTCGAGGTGCTTGTCGCTGGTCGTGGACTTGACTATGAAGAAGGGAGTTGGCCATCCCTGCACAAACTGGTCGGGAGCTGGAGCCGTTCCCCTGACGAGGCCATGGCAGGCCGAAACCAGTCAGCATGTATCCTTGGGAGGGCAGGTCGTGGTGGCTGACCAGGGCGCTTGCGCGAGCTGAAGCAACGCCTTGGTGCCGCACGGGCCGTGCCGCTGCGCCGAATCTCTAGGCCCGTGACAAATGGTATCAGAGCAGGACTTGGGGAAAAGCACAGAGGTGTGCCCCCTTGTCGATCTGGGGGTCTTGAGAGTGAAGACGGTGCACTGAAAAAGCGTCGGTGGGTAATCAATGCTGTTGGAGGAGAGCCTCCATCTCCCCATGATGACGCGTCCGTTAAGCCGGAGGGCCGCGCGCATCGGATGGCCGGAGGGCCGCGCGCACCAAAGTTCTTGCAAGTTCAAGAGGCGTGCAAACCGTTGTGAAGGGCGGGTATCAAGTCAACCGGAGGGCGCTTGTTTGCTCGGGGTGTCGCGGAGGCGGCATAACGTGGGGTTGCGTCCCGAAGAAGTGGGCGTCCCTTTAGCCCGAAACCCTATCATTGGGCGAGTGCAGCCAGGGGTTGTACAAGGAAGCGATGGTGGGCAGGCGAGCATACCACTTGGAGGAGACAGGCTTTGGAATGTTGGACGCAGCGGAGTCAGCGCCGCACTGCGACGAGGGCGTCGCAGGATTTGGGTGGGGGAGAATGTCACGATCCGATTCCTAACGACGCCATGAGCATAGAAGATACGCATGCTGGTTGGCTAAGAACATTTATTGACTGGGAATGGTTCCAGGGAAGGGGCGTGCAGGACCACAGGATGGTACCTCTTCAGAGTTCAGGCAGGTCGACTCGGTTCAGTTCGAGGTGCTTGTCGCTGGTCGTGGACTTGACTATGAAGAAGGGAGTTGGCCATCCCTGCACAAACTGGTCGGGAGCTGGAGCCGTTCCCCTGACGAGGCCATGGCAGGCCGAAACCAGTCAGCATGTATCCTTGGGAGGGCAGGTCGTGGTGGCTGACCAGGGCGCTTGCGCGAGCTGAAGCAACGCCTTGGTGCCGCACGGGCCGTGCCGCTGCGCCGAATCTCTAGGCCCGTGACAATTGGCTCTGATACCATGTTAATAACCATCTACTCCAAAAGCTTAAGCTGTTAGAGAGGGTGTAACTTAAATATATATCCTTCAACAGGTGGCAATCACACACGCTGTTGGTGAATCAGCCACCAAAGGAAAGTGTTCATTTTGTGTCAGAAGCACCTCCAGTTAAATTTCAATCAATACCAGAATGACTAGTATAGATAACTATACAAACTATTATTCATGATGAAAATCTATGAAAAGAAAGCAACTCTTAACTCATACAACTCTCCTTGCACTCCAAGGACTATGGTCAAGGAGCAAAGATTGCTCCATAAAGGGTATAACACAATCCACCAGTCAACTGAAAATGAGTGGACAATATGCTGAGCAGACCACATTAAGGTCATTCTACACTTAAAGTTGTATCTATTCCATGTTCCAATGCTTACCAGAATTTGCTTATCATATCTTTGGACTGCATAAAAATTTTCGGGTTAAAACTTACTGATTCTTTCATGCAAAATAAATTTTATATAAAACAGAATCCACAGATTACAATATACCTCCATTGTTTTTGCAAAATCATAATGACCATATCAAATTACTTCCTTGAGACTCATGTCCAGGCAATTGCTTAGGAATTGGCAAGGCAAGGCAATTGCTTAGGAATGAAACGTTTCAGGTTTAACTCTCCCATTGTAAATGATTGCAAGCATACGTAGAGGCTTAAAATAGGTTGGAAACATCCTACAGCACACCCAAAGAAGTAAACAAAGTTCTGCTTCTTATTGCTCCCTCATTTATTCTTAAATTGATCATTTAACCCGTTCCAAAATTGAAAGCTAGTATGCAACCTATCAAACAATTATAAAATGAACATTGAGTAAATTCCTGGAAGGACAAATATCCAGTAAAATTCACATATGTTCCAAAATTGAACTTCTTTCTGTTCAAATAATGAAATGGAATAAAGAAAATAAGAGAAGACGACTCAAAGTTTACCTTGCATTTCAAAGATGTGATGCTACAGAGGAGGTTGCGACAACTTATTTCACAGCAGAAGATTCATAGAATTGCATGGTATATAAAATTACCAGCAGGATAAAAAATAAAAATAAAAAGATTGTACAACTTGTAATTACAAATCCCCAAGCAAAACCCATGCCAGTATATGCGCAACACTGTGTATTAAAATGGATCAAGTAAATATCAAAACCTAAAGAATGAGACAGCCGATACCTTTTCCATGACACTACTAAGCAAGAAAACATAGATATATTATATAGTATAAGGTCAAGTTTAATATCATTAAGACATCAATTTAGAGATGACAC